GGCAAATTCTGTCCTAATTTAGAGTGGTCTTGGTAGGTACTAGAGTACATAACTGCAGGATGGGAAGGGGCCTCCATGTGGCTATAGGTGAGCTGTCATCTGCTTACTTCCCAGTGTGGCTGCTTTGGGGTCCCCTATACTCCTGCAATAACCCCCTCATATACCGCCAGTATACTCCCTCAGTAACCCCCTCATCCATCCTGCTCTGTAAGTAAGCCCAAAGTCACTGGTTCTCCAGGGTGAACTCTGCTGGAACTGTAGTTTAGTTTGTTGTTGGGACCTTAGGAAGGGGGGGGTGGTTTACTCTCTCCAGGGAAGGAATTCTTGCAACAGATTTCATCGTCAAAGAAGGCAGGAAGCGGTTCTCCACAACTGGGCAATCCCTTTGGTTTGTTGCCCAGAATTACTGACACCTGTCCATTGCCAGATCCTGTGGTGTCAGAAGGAGCCTGAATGGGACGGTTGTAGGCTGCTAGGGACCATAGCTACTTAAGAGGCAAGTGCTGTACTCCACACTACTAAGCTCAGTGTTGGCTGGGGGTGGGGTGGGAGTGGGGCTCTGGGCACACAGAGAAGAAAGGCAACAGAGCTTGAACAGCAGAGGCAGGTTTAATGGTGTCACCTTGTCTTCATGAGCCAACCCCCCAAAAAATGCAAGTAAAAAGAAGTTTAATCACACAGCACTTTATACAGATATTGTAAGCAGTAGGCATTCACATTGCCACATGAATGATGCCCTGGAACGCATAGCCCCACCAGGCACTCAGGATGCCCTCAAGGTACCGACTGGCTGTCCTTCCCGAGGCGGCAGCGCCTTGGCGGCCCTGGCACAGCACAGGTGTGGAGCCCACTTAAGGCTGACAAGACGCATCATGCTTTGGCTTTTAATCTTTTTTTTCTGTTAAGAGTTAATATCTTTGCCTCTGATATTTATTTTTCCGACCTTAAATATTATATACATACACCAGAAATTACATAGCTGCAATGTGCTCAACAGCATCCTCTCAACTGGGACCTTCACATTATCAAAAGCTTAGAAAACTTGTAAACCTCTGGGCCTGGGGTAGGGGGTGAGGGGAGTGTCAGCTCCTGCAGCCTCGGCCCTCTGGACTACAACTGCGGAGTCTATAAGCCAAGGGCTACTGGAGAGGTCAAGGCACTGGGTGGGGAGCGGCCTTGACTGGCCTGGCCTGGCTTGTGCAGATGCTCCTGTTGCCTCAGTGGGGATGAAATAAGGCTGGAGGGGAGTAGATTCGGTATAGACCACATGGGCGAGTCTTGGCACAACTGCCAGTGTCCCCAACAGCCATGGACTAGAAGGGCAAGGCACCTACAGCCATTTCTTTCCCAGCAGCACCTTGTCGACTCCATGTTGGTGAGGGCCACTAGCTTCTCCTGGGTGTCACTCTGATCCTTAGCTCAGTTGCAACCTCTCTTAG